AAGTGCACTACCTACAGTAGCCCTGTGATCTGTCCATGTCCTCCCATGCTAGGTGCCTCCCCGCTAGTTCAGATCACCTCATCACCTCACTTCTCGTCTGGATTCCCAAACAGCCCTCCCTGGGCTCCCAGCTCCAGGCTTGCTTACCTCCAGTCTGTTTTTCAAGTTGCAGCCAGAGTGATTTTTCTAAAATGCAAATCTGATCAAGTCACTCTCCTCTTGCTATCTCTTCAATGGCTTCCCGTTTCCCTCTGGATGAAATCAAAGCTCCCTAAAATGTCTTATAAAAGCCTTAAAATCTGGCTGCTGTTAACTCTTTATTCTTATTTCTCCTTACTTTCCTAGCCAAACTCTAAATTTCAACTCTACTGAATTTTCAGTTCCTTAAAAAATCCCAGCACTTGCTTTTCTGTTTTCACACACTGTGCCAGCTCCCTGGAAGGCTCTCCTTCCAACCCAGCCCACCCCACTGCATTGCATAACTTCTCCTCATCCCTCCCCCTTGGTCTAGCTGTATTCCTCTGGGAAGCCATCCTTGAGCCATTAGATTTTTAGTTCCCCCCAGGTATGCTCCTGTTGTACTTCATTTTTTCCCCATCATAACATCTACTGTACTGTCTTTACCTCCCCCCACAATGAAATAATTTCCCCTCTCCTCTTGAACAAGCAATAATCATTAAATATTAAGCTGATATATTATAGAAATAACAAAGGAAGCAAACATCACCAGTAGTCACAATTTCATGGTATTCATTCTGATTATTTCTGTGCACATTATGTGTGTATGGGTACTGTGTAGTTTTATAACTTTTTCAGTTAAGCAACTTATTCTAGACGTCTTTTTTTTTTTTTGAGACAGAGTCTCACTGTGTTGCCCCGGCTAGAGTGCCGTGGCGTCATCCTAGCTCACAGCAACCTCAAACTCCTGGGCTCAAGCGATCCTCCTGCCTCAGCCTCCCGAGTAGCTGGGACTACAGGCATGCGCCACCATGCCCGGCTAGTTTTTTCTATATATTTTTAGTTGTCCAATTAATTTCTTTCTATTTTTAATAGAGACGGGGTCTTGCTCTTGTTCAGGCTGGTTTCGAACTCCTGAGCTCAAACAATCCGCCCGCCTCGGCCTCCCAGAGAGCTAGGATTACAGGCGTGAGCCACTACGCCCAGCCTTTAGACGTCTTTATACATGGTATTGCTTTGTTTCAATATATAATGATTATTTAACTAATCCTGTCATTATTGCGTATTTAGGTTGTTTCCCTTTTCATTTAGACATTATTGCAGTGAATATCCTTATCTATGTATGCTTTATACCTAACCAGGTATTTCTAAAGAATAAATAAATTTATAGAAGTATCTGTAAGGTTGGTATCAAATTATATCCCCTTCCACAATGTTACTGCCTTTCCCCACAAGCTTGAAAATACTCATCTTATAAATCTTTTTTTTCTTTTATCTTTCAACCTGAAAACAAAGATATATTTTTGATGATTTTTCCCTAGTGACTAGCAAAGTTCAGTATCTTTATGTTTACTGGGAATTTTTTTTGGATCAACTTTATTTGCCCAATTTTTTATTCAGTCAGGCCCCCTGGAAGTAGCATTTGAAATGAGGATTCTTGTGCAAGTGATTCATTGAGAGAGGGAACAAGGGAAACAGAGCAGGGCAGAAGAAAAGAGGTAAAGTTGTGGTTTCAGGAGAAATTCATCCTCAGCCTAATCCCATGGGGCCTCAGGAGCATGAATTGCACCACCGCGGTCAGAAGGTTGGGCTGTAATGTCCTGCATCAGTCACTGGCCATAGGCCAACCTCAGAGGGAATAAAACTTCCTGGGCATCTCTGCGTAAGGCGATTTCCATTGGTTCAGGACGATGCTCTGGAGAAGGGTGAAGATGACCCATTAGAACTCAACTTCTGAAGCGACTATGCCTCCCTGGGAGGGGGGATCTGTGTGGACACAAATAGCATTTGTTATGTTGGGTGTCTGCCTTTTAAAAATAATTCCTTAAAAGCTAAGGATGTTAAACCTTTTTGGAATATGTATTGTAAATGTACTTTCCTAGTTGTTTGTATTTTTCTAACATTTTTATAGAGACAAATTAATAAAACTGGCTTTGATGATTATGCTTAGGTTTATTCCAATCCAAAATTATTTTAAAAATTAACCTACATTTTTCTCTAGTATTGTACAAGTTTTTTTTTTTAATGTAAATCTTTAATTCACCTGAATTTACTATGGATGTATATTGGATGTCAGATAGGGATTTGACTTAAATTTTTCCTAAATAATATTAGTTGATACTTCAATCGTTATATGTTAATATAATCAAATAATAATAAAACATAATCATTGGTCCACTCTATATGATAGGCCCTGCTCTAAGCCCTCTACAAATATTAATCTACTTAACCCTTGCAGTAATGTCACAGGTAGGGAAAATAGATGAAGTGAGGAACAGAGAGGTTATGTAATTTCCCCAAGGTCATGGCTAGTAAGTACTGGCAAGTTGGGATTTTAACAAATGTACTTTGTCTTCTATCTGTGCACTTAACTGGTAGGCTGCACTGCCAATTATTATTCCAATTAGACAAGGAGTTAGATAACTTACTGAACAATCCATCTTACAACTGGAGTGGGCTCCCTACTCTTTCAGTGATCTTTGGGAATTTCTGCACCAGTTTGTTCTAATTACAGTACTAGTTTTTGTCATACTCTGTAATATTCAGCAGTACACGTCCCTCCCATTAGGTTTTTCTCTGAAATTTCCTAGGTATTCTCAAACTTATTCTCCAAAAACCAAACACATAAACAAGCAAAAACATCTACAGGCATATTGATTTGGCATTTAATTTGGGGGAAAATTTGACTTAAAATTTATCTCATTCAAGAAAACATAGTGTGTCTCTCCACATATGCCAGTGTTCTTTAATTTCCCTTTATTTCCTATATTCCCTTCTGGTTTTCATTAAGAATTTTCTTCACAGAGGGCCCTACATATATTTTGGTAATCTATGTCTTTGTGAATAGAGTCATCTTTTAAAATTGTATTTTTAAACAGGTTACTATTAATTAAAACTATTGGGTTTTGGCTGGGCATGGTGGCTCATGCCTGTGATCCTAGCACTCTGGGAGGCTAAAACGGGAGGATCACTTGAGGTCAGGAGTTCAAGACCAGCCTGAGCAAGAGCAAGACCCTGTCTCTACAAAAAATAGAAAAACTAGTCGGGTGTGGTGGCCTGTGCCTGTAGTCCCAGCCACTTGGGAGGCTGAGGCAGGAGGATCACCTGAGCCCAGGAGTTTGAGGTTGCAGGGAGTTATGATGATACCACTGCACTCAAAACGGGGTGACACAGCAGGACTCTGTCTCAAACAAATAACAAAAAACCTATTGGCTTTTGTGTATTTACACATAACTGGCCACTTTGCTTAATTTCAGGTATTGTCACCTTGTAGCAATTATAATAAATCAGTGATTCATGTTCTGACAAAAGTAAATATCACAAGGAAACCTGCTCTACAAATAATTTTACCTCCTATTATAACATGAAAATCCTATTATATCTGGTGCAATTGGAGCTAGTTAATTCATAAGGTAGATTAAGGTGGGGCATCATAAAAAATTGAACATACATCCCCTTAAACATGTGAGCTTAAAACATATAAACATATACTCTTAAAGGTCAAAGCCTTTTTTGGGAACGTGAATGCAGTGATGCAAGATCCCAAGCTGCCTTTCTTGAGTTCTGGTCCCTTTAAAGTAGAAAGAGAACTTACGACTTTAGTGAAACAACCTGAACAACCTGAGTGCAGAATTTCTACTAGATCACCCCAAAATCTTAGCTGTCCTGCTCACACCTAATTTAACAGTTCTTTTTAATGATGCACCTTTTCCAAACTTTTTCAAAATATCCACTTAGTTTTCCCGGGAATTCTTTTTTGTCCCTCATAGTTCACCAATTTTCATAATTGTTAAATTAACTTACATAATTTAAAATACTAAATACAACTGGCATAAACAGATTTGTGAAGAAACAGCTGAGTTTTGGTGAATTCGAGTGGGGTGGAGACAGAAGCAAACTGGCATACAGGGATGCAGCAGACTCCTGGAGCGCAGGCGCAGCTGCAGCCTCGGGTTTACAGAGGGAATGGGGCAGGCTGCTCCACCACACTGGTCAAGAGGAAGTCTAGTCGAAAGTGCTTTATTTTTAAAACCACCATGTTTTGTATGTGTATATGTATATGAACATATATATGTACGTGTGCAATATTCTTTTATTTGTATTTTGCCAAGGGTTTTTATTGTCCTTTTTAAAATCTGGAGTGGATTTTAAATTTTATCAAATGTCTTTTTGGTACCTATTAAGAAGATTCCGATTTTTCTCTTTTGACCTATTAATAATGTACACTGCATTAAAAAGAACTGAAATATCCTTACATTCCTGGAATAAATCTCACTTGGTCATGTGTACTCTGTTTTAATGGTTTCCCTTTACCAATATTTTACTTATTCAAAAGTGACAATGGTATAGCTTTCTCTTTTTAAAATGATCTCTTCTCTGACCTTCAGAACAGTATTCTTTTCCTTGTTTGAAAATTTTTTTGTTCAATTATACCTTTTGCTCTATTCCATGCTGTTTTGCGGCCTTTACGTCAACATAGCATAAATGTGGATATCGGGGGTGGGGTCGAAGGGCTACTTCTACCTAACATGATGATCCTGCCATTAAAAAAAAATAATCATTTCCAAAGTTGGTTGAGTCCGATGCTTTGATATTTTTAATAGTTATTAGGAAAATCAGTGTTAGGTTTTCAGGGGTTTCCAATTAAAAAGCAAGGAATCTTATTTCAAAGACCTCATGGAGGTAGCAAGTAGCAAGGAAGAGGTCAAGTGTCATTTTACGTGCACATCCCTTCTCTTTCCACAAATTTTACAGTGATTCCTTTCAGAAAGAATGCTGACTTGATGAATACATGACAGAGAAGCTTAAAACAAGAATAGATCAACAATTAATAAAAGTGACCCCCCAATATGTTTTAATAGTTACCCAGATAACTACTTTTTGAGTAATAAGATTAGAAAATAAGCCGTGTATAAAGTAGAAAAGTATGAGTTTTTAAATGAACAAGAAACATTTTTAAAGAATCTCTTAAAACACTGAAACATCTTATTCAAGTATACCTGCTGTTATTTATCACTTACACAAAGGAGAAAGAGTCTGTGTTTTTCTCTTAAAGTACATCTAAATTCATTAAGCTGGCAGCCTTGTTTTTTTAATGCTTCACTAGGTTTTGTTTGTTGTTTTAATGGCTTGAATATAACTTTTTATAGACTATTGATTTCTAGCTCCAAATGAAAACAGTAAAATATGTGAAGGTTTTATTTTTGTTGTGTCTGATGAACTATAAAAGAGAAGAAGGGAACGTGACAGAGACTGGGGCATTCCTCTCAGCCCTCACACTTGGCTTTTTTGCAAGCCGGAAGAGAATCATCATCCCCTTCTGATGGCCGAGGTTTCTTCACTGTAGAAATTATTCCAAAAGCAGTTTTTCTAGTTTCTGTAAAACAAACAGGAAAACCATAGTGCTTGAAGTTAAGACATAATTTAAAATGAGGCGGTTTAACAAGTATCACCATATTACTTTGGCTTACAGCACTAGTAAGGAATAAACCATAATGAACTGCTATGGGAGCTGGTGCCATTAACATGTCATTATTTTGTTTCCCAGCATACACATATATCAGGATATTATTAACATCTAATTCATTCCTAAAGATTATCTCAAGGGTAAAGTTGCAGGGCAGTGTTATCTCTAATGGTCTCTTCATGGCACCTTATGCAATTAGAACCCAAATCATAGATATCAGTGTAGCAGATGCTTTATACATAGTAGAAAGACAAATCAAGAGCGCAAAGACAACGGTCAATTGTATTGCTCCCATGGTGGAGTGTGTGCTTACCTCATTTTACAGCACATATTCTATCTCTCTCACTAGATCATCAATGTATCTTTGAAGAATCCATTATATTGCATTGTAAACACCCAACAATGGCCGGGTTATATAACAGGTGTTCAATAAATACTTGCTGAGTGAATGAATAAAATCAAACTCATAAATATATTGATGCCTTCCTTATATTACTGATGATAATGAACAAAGAAAAATGGTGATTATTAGATGCTTAGATCATATTGGCAACAGAGGTCAACTTAAATTTAGCCAATTTCTGCTAAAAAACCTACTAACGGGCCAGGCACTGTGCCATTAATAGAGAGTATAAAGATGTCTGACAGACAGTGCTTGTTCCCACAATTCATGCATGGGATAAGCACATTAAGAGCAAATATAATAGGAATGAAGGCACCCATAATAATTAATCACCTGGATGAATCAATTAGGTACTATAAAAAGTTAACACTACAAGAATAGGAAAAAAGGAAAAAAAGGAGAAGAAAGTATTCCTTTGATAGGCATGAAGAGAAAGGTAAGAAGAACCCAGGGAAGAATATTTGGGTATGGTATGGCTGGTGTGAAGGAGTATGGAAAAATTAGGGGGAAATGAGGCTGAAAGAGTAGCTTACGAAAGACCATAGAGTCATGAAAGAGATTCAAACTTTGTCCTTAGGAAATGGAAAGAGATTATGGAGAAGGATCAAGATCCTCATTAGCTACAAAGGCAGTAGAATCAAAAGAACTTGATGAACAGAAATTTAGTTAATATTCCTTATTTCAAGTAATAAAAGTAAACTCTAAAGTGTTAAGCATTAACTTCCCATTTATCAGGATTTATTTACCAAGCCTATTTAATCTCTGCCAGCTATTTTAAAACACTGTAATTTATAAAAGGGATGAAACTGTTCTCCAGGTCATCAAATGCCAACATAATGAAAGAGCCTCAAAATAGAAATTGTCCATGATTTCCATTTCACCAAATGAAAAATTCTGCATTTATATCATTGTGTTTCTGAGTAATAGTCTAAAACTCAGTTATATGAATAAAAATAAAAAAATTGTGAAAACCAGAACTTTGTAACAAAGCAAAATGTATTAGTTTCAAAATTATTTTAGTTCCATCTCAGAAATGTTCTACTATTTTTATCACATGTTTATTCCTTAATCTAAAATGACAGATTATAAACAACTACAGGAGACTTTCATTATCATTTAAAGTAAGTTTTAGTGTCTTTTAAAAATAAATTCATTTTTTGGAACAGCAAGAAGTTACATTTGTATAGGGCTTTAGTTTATAAGGTGTTTTCACATATAAAATTTTCCTTTAATCATCTTGCCAAGGAAAATCTACAACTAGCTTTAAAGGAATTATCGGCGAGTGAACTATTTTGTTCACAAGGAGTTAAGGCAGGCATCCCTAACAAGTCTATTTTGGTCCAGTGGTTGATGAAGGACACCAACCTCGTCAATCACAGGCCAAAGACTCTGACCTTGAACCTCTTTCCTCTGTCATTTCCTCATAACCTCCTAAGGATTGCTATTCACTGGTTTCTGGAACCCCACAGAACCTAATTCTGATTCCCAGTGGCAAGCTTTGCAATGATGAAAGCCAGCTACTATGTATCCCAAGTCTTCTGTTTGCCAGGTATCCACACCTGCACTACACTCATGATTTCTCTAACCATGAGGTTTCCAGATCCTTTAAGAACCTATCAGACATCTTCTGGTAGTATCCAGTGTGTTGCTGTCATAAATTATGGTACTCAGAATGATACAGATGCCAGCTGAGATTTCATCAGTGAGACTTTGGCTCCCCTTGCCTCAGAATCCTTTATTTCTTCTAATGTAACCTAAGCTGAACTAGCAATCTTAGGAACACATCACACTACTGTTTCACACCGATCTCAATACCAACTAAAACCAGGGTAACTGTAATTTGTCATCTAGATCAGGATACTTTTCAGAAAACAGAAGTGTTAATAATTTTATAGGAACAGCAAGTATAAAGCAAGTATAGGACTGTACTGGGCACATTGGGGGAACGGTAATGCCACTTAAAGTCCACAAGTCTTCTTTTATTAATAGTTTAGTGTCTATAAAAGCCTCACTTTATCATATGTTGAATAGTTGAGTTTTTTGAAGTCAAATGCAGAACTTCATCCCAATACAGTAAACAGTTTTCTCAAGTGGAAATCAGATCATTAAAATCCAGACACAACACATGAGCCCTCAATAACCTAGCTATTCATATAATAGTCTATATGTAGTAACTTATTCTGAAGTTTAAAATTCATCTGGGTGACATCAACTAAACTGTTTCTTAAATACAACCAGTCCTAAAAATTACAAAGAGAGTGAAGACAAAATAGCAGATCAAAACTTTAAGATTTTTGTTTTAATAAAAGTTCATTTGCATTTTCCAAAGTTTTAGCATACTTCTAGTTCAGCTTTTAACATCTCATAAATAAGAAATTCAGTGGGTTCCAGTAGTGGAAGTAAGGTGAAGAGGTACCTATACAAAATGTAAGTAAACAATGTACAGTCTGTACGTACTTGACCATGTAAACAAAAATGGGAAAATAAACATTCTGAGTTGTAATAAATGCAAAAGTTAGTCGAGTTTTGTTGGGTTTTTAAAAATGGGGTGTTTGGACTGGCTCTAGAGCTCAGTGGTTCCTTTGACAAAGTATCGACTCCTAAAAATGCTGTTTTTGTTTTCCTAATAAATGATTTAACATATATTTTTGACATATCAGTTCTTTAAAACAGCGATTTTAAACAGGGAAAGCATGCCCCTCCGGAGAGGAAGGAGGAGTAAGAGCAATTAGAAGTGCCTATCAAAATGTAGTCAGGGAGCCTGGCATGGTGTGCATGCTTGGAAGGCTGAGGTGGGAGAATCTCTTGAGCTCAGAGTTCGAGGCTGCACTCCAGCCCAGGTGACAGAGCGAGACCCTGTCATTCATTCATTCATAAATAGATAAATAAATAAAAGATGTGGGCAGGGGCACACATGTATAGTTTGAAAGAACTCATTGAATACTCGTTTCTGTAATGCAGACTATATTCACTCCACAAACTACAGAAAGGAAGGTCTGAACTGAGGGTAAGAAAGCACCAATGGCTACAGTTAGAACAGATTGAGAAAAGATGATTTCAAAGGAACTCTGCAGGATAGGATAGCAAAAATGGATATGGCTCAATTCTTCGATAAAAATGACTTGCTCCTAGCATGACCATTCAGTTTTTATTGGAAGAACCTGCTCACCTCCGTGGAGTAGTGCTGCTCTGCAGTTGGTGGACACTGCAGCCTTGGCATCACTCTCAGACAGGCCAAACAGCAACCCTCTGGTGGGGCCATTAAAGATTGTAACCCAGAATCAGCCAAGGACATGAGACTAATATGAACATAACTGAAAATGCCAGCTAACCTGGTCTTGTTGAAAGAGAGACTAATTAATTCCATAGCAGTTCTTAGCCCAACTGGAACATGCATCTGAGAAGAGACTCATTTAACTATAAACTTTTATCATATAAAGTCCCTCGTTCCCCCTTTTCTATCTCATGCTTAATCCAAAAAACAGAGGGATAAAGCTCTCTACAACCTGATGTAATTTGTTTTTGAAGTTATTAATTGGTAAACTTTTACCTTACAATAAAAGGTTGAGAAAAATGTCATGTTAAACTATAATACTACTTCCTTGAAATTCCAAATTTCCTAAAAGAAAATTTCAACAACTTCTTACTCAGAAAAGGATACAAGTTTGCCACATCGTATGGTCCCCTTATTTCTAAAGACTAAAATAAACAAAAAATAGATATGAGAAAAGGTATACATTTCAATGACTTAATGACTTCAAGGGTTAGGGTTAGTAGATTAATAAGATACTTAAGTACCTAAAAATAAGAACGTTAACTACATAAATTTAAGTCCTTATAGTTTTGATGAGTTTCATAAGTTTTTGAAAATATAAAATAACATTGAAAAGCATTTTGTAACAGTATAAAGGAAAAACTATTTATTTATATACGAAAATTTGAAGCCTAAAGAGAATGGGGATAAATTTTACTCCTCAGTAATTACAAAGAGCAAATCCATAGTTAAAATAGAAAACGTGCAATAAACATTCATTACGTTACTGTTTTAATTTCTTCCCCCCAGAAACTCTGCAAAGTTTTCTAACTTGAAAGGTGGAAACAAAGTACTTCATGTTAGACTTACCCTTTCTGCAGCACTAGATATAATTACGTTCTACAAAATAGAAAGTGATCAATATTAATCTTAGATAAATGTGAAAAAAAAGCAATTGAAGCATCTCATAATACAGATAACTAGTAATCACACTTTAACATTTAAGGCTCAAATACCAACTTGTTTTAAAGATAAGGTAAATAATTAAAGTGAAAAAATGAAAGACCTCACTTCAAACTAAGGCAGCCTATAAAAAGAAAGAGAATAAGCTTTCTAAACAAACCTTAGTAAAGATGAATTAAGTTAAGAACTAGATTAAAAGGTCATATAACTTTAATTCAACTCACTTATGACAAACATTTGTTATCCAGACTATTCTTTTCACAGTATGTAAATTGCAAATTCCTTATCAAAAGATAAAGGCTTTCGACATGTCTTTTTCTCCCTTATACTATTTTTTCCTTGATATTTTTCTTTCCCTTAAAACTTGCAGAGCTCATTGAAATGGAAGAATTTGCTTTTGTGTCTTGAGAACTTTCTACTTTAAGGAAAAGGAATTAGTTTGACAATTCCAGTATATTAATAATAATAAACTGCCAGATATGAAAAACATCATAAAATTATGGAACCATACCTTTCCTTTGCAGACCTGCATCAAATTGAGGGCATTGGAAATTGTGTACCTTCTCATTGTGGAGTCTTTGATAGCAGGGCTATAGACAAGTTCAAAGCCTAGGCCGCGGTCAATTGCCTTCACAGGAAATAAAGAAAATAAACTGTCAAAGATAAACACACGCTGTCCTACTTAATTCTCACTGAAGTCCTCCTAGTACCCACCTCCTACATGTCAAGGTACAGTTTTAAACAAAGACAGATTCACGCACAAATGGCACAATCCACAAGGAGAAGAAAACCAATCTGTGGCTGTATTTGAACAGAGTTTATCTTAGCTGTGGGGAGGCTGACTTTATATAAACAGGAATTATCAAGAGGCTAAGGAAAGCGAAGTCCAGTGGGGTGGCAGAATAGCTATTATTCCACAAACTATCAAAAGGAAAACAAAGATGTATTCCCTACATAAACTGTATGTAAATCCAATAAACCAAGTAATTTGACTCAAGAATAAAGAAAGAAACAAGATATGAAGAGCTGGAAAAAGCTCAAAAAACAGGGGTAAGAAGGCTTCTCAGGTAAGTCATTATTATTATACATAGATGTTGAATGAGAGAATAACAACATCCATGGTTAACTGAGTGTTGACTACACGCCAGGTACTGTGCTGAGAGTCTTATGTATATATTTAGCCCTTACAATACCTTTATACGAGGCATTGCAGCAGACTGTTAATTGCCCAGGAAACCATCCTCTCCTTTTTCCTTAGTAATATGGCCCCTGATTTTTGGCTGGACTTATGTTTATCCAGCAAAAAAGATGGAAGAAGCCTGGGCCTTTTATGATTCTGTCCAGCTTACTATACAAGATTGGCCTTTTTCATGAGAAAAAGAAACTTCATTCTTATTTAATGTACTCTTACTACACAGAGATCCACAGGTAAGAAAGCCTGGAAGAGGTGGAAGTGGAATTGAAATTGACCACCACACTATTCAGCTTCCCTGATGAGTGCCTCAATAGCTTCGTCCATTCATAACAGACATGTTTTAAGCTCACTGTGTGCAAAGGCTGAGATGGTTCCTCCTTTGTAAGAGCTTACAGGTTAGTGGGGGAGACCATCAAATAACCACACAAAAATATAAAACTTCAACTGTGGTAAATACTATTAAGGAGAAGTTTGGGAGTAAGGGAAGAAGAAATTAAGTAGTTAAATAGTGTGGAAGATGCATTTTCAGAGAGAAGGAAGAGCATGTGAAAGGCTCTGGGGTTGGAACACGGAAGCACCTAGAGAAGGTCAAAAGCTGGAGAAGAACAAACAAAGGGGAGCCCTGAGGTGGGAGATGAGGCTGAAGAGGATGAGAAGGGCCAGCTGTGCAGAGCTGGTAACAGCAAGGGGAAACATCCGGAGGACTTTAACTTAGTGGTGATAGGCAGACTTGCAAGTGCAAAAACCAATTTGTTGCAGTAGTCTTTTGAATGAATAAAAGGATGGTAGACACAGTCCAGGCAGTATGGTGCAAGTCTCTGCCTGGCAAACGAGATTCTGTTACTCAGAGGATGAGCTGGGACTGGTCCAACTGTGACTGCTGGGGTTTACTCCTGAGCATTTACAGGGAATGGAGGAACTTGTCTTCTTCCAGAACTGGCAGTCCACCTTGATTTAATTCAGGTGTACCTCAAAGGCCCCTCTACCTTCCCTTTCTGAACACAGATTTCCTTTCTTCTATCCCCCAAACATCCCTTTCCTTTTCCTCTGGCCTTAAGGCTCCCAGATTTTATTTTAGATTTTCCCATATATCTGATTCTAGTTTAGTTAGAATTTAAATGCTATTTTCCACCTTGCAACCTTCCCCCTCTCCCGTATTTTGACAACCTTTTCCCACCTCTAATTCTTTACCTTGCGTGGATTATTTCTGCCATAGTTAAATGTATACCTCATTTTCTTTGGCTAGTTCGTACACTTCTTGAGAGCTGGTATCATGACACCTGTCTAACACAAAACTGCCTTTTACACAAAAAGTGTGTAATATATTTACATTTTGAGTGAATAAATAGTAGCTCAGGGAAAAGAGGTCATGTGATAATGCTGTTCACTATGGATTATCCATCATAAAAGAAAACACAATGGACTTGGCTAACTGAAATCCACAGATAATGAAAACATCTCCTTGGTTATTTCTTTTACAAAAACTACTATAATAATTAGCTGAAGCGGCTGACTTACAAGTTGTACAACCACAACACAAGGCAGTAGGATGAAGAGGAGTTTGATGGATATATAGGGTTTGAGGACCAGATCCCAAAATATTTCTAATTGACTGAATCTAAATTTCTAGAACCTTCTGGGGACCAGATCAAAATAAAAACTCCTTTTGGTGGGGTGGGAGTGGGGGGAAAAAGAAAGGGAAAAAAGGACATAATTATCACCTTAACTATTTTTTAAGAAAAAATTTCTGATTTTGATCTTGGTATATTAATCAAGCTCCCTTTAAAACTAAGAGAATTCTAGAAAAAGAAAAATTATAAAGATAATGTGCTACTATGAAAGTTATGGTGAATATTTCTTTCATAACACCTTATTTTTAAATTTTTAAATAGATAAAATAGAGACTCATTACCTGGGCTCCTGCTTCTAAGACCATTTTAATGCAAACTGCTCTACACTCATCAAATGATTGTTCATGATAACCTCTTTATAATAGTGCCTGCCTGATTGGCTTTTGTTCACATGTCTGACCAAAGGTTCTGGCATGGGTGGATGTATTAGATTTCTTTACTCATGAGAAATAACAGTCAAAAGGACGCTACCAAGGACAGGTGTGTGATACTTGAATCCAGAGACACTGGCAATAAAATTCCAAGTACTAAGTAAAGCTAGAGAAAGAAGAGAATAAGGAGTTGATTACTGGGACAATATAGTCATTCCCCATTAATTTCATAAAAATTAGTTCTTTATTGGATTCAAATGGATGACATCCTTTCAATGTATCATTTTTTATGATAGGTAATTTGTTCACAAGATTCATAAATCAAAGCAACATAAGGCAACAATAAAAAGTCTTACTTGCATCTCTGATCCCATCTGCCCCTACCTCTTCTCCCATAACTTTTATTAATTTCTTGTGTCTTCTTCCAGAGTTTCTTAATACAAATATAAGCAAATATGAATATATATTATTTTTCCTCTTTCTTACCCAAAAGGTAGTCTGCTACATTCTTGTCCTGACTTGAAAGCTTTTCCATGTCAGCTCATAACTTCCTCGTTCTGTTTTATAGCTGCATAGCATTACGCTGTAGAGGTACAACATGTATTTAACCAAGCCTCTACTGATAGATTTTGGGTGTTTCAATGTATCTGTAGAATCAATACTAAAGTGGGATTACTGCATATTATGGGTTGAACTGTGACCCTAACCATAAAATGTATGTTGAAGTCCTAACCCTCAGTACTTCAGAATGCAACCATATTTGGAAACAGGGTCACTGCGGATGTAACTAGTTGAGATGAAGTCATACTAAAATAAGGTAGGCCCCTAATCCAGTATGACTGATACCCTTATAAGATGGCCATGTGAAAACACAGAGACACACAGGGAGAATGCACTGCGAAGACAAGGAAGAGATTGGATTACATAGCTGCAAATCAAGGATTACCAAAGATTGCTGGAAAATCACCAAAAACTAAAAAAATGGTAAAGAAGGGTTTCACTACAGGTTTTAGAAGAATGTGACCATACTGAAACCTTGATTTCAGACTTTTGGCCTCCAGAATTGTGAGACGACACATTTCTGTTGTTTTAAGCCAGTAAATGTATTTGTAATTTTAATAGTTGTTGCCAAATTACCCCCCCAATAGAGATTGATCCAATTTACCAGCAAAGTATTAATAAGAGAACACTTGCTTTCCCACAGCCTTAATACACAGTGTATCACTAGTTAATAGGTGATTTTTATGTGAATTTCTCTTATTATTGTGAATGCAAGCATCTTTTCATATGTTTAAAGACTCTTTGTATTTTCCTCCTTGTGAGATGTCTTTCATATTCTTAATTCATTTTTTTGTATTGTTCATCCTTTTTTTTTTTTTTAACTTACCAATTTCTAGGAGCTCTTTATATATTACAGGGATTAGCCTTTTTGTCTATCACATGAATGAAAATGTTTCCACCAGCTTGTCATTTGTCTTTTAGCTTTATTTCTGGTGGGCTTTTTTTTTTTGGTGGCTACACAGAAATTTTTTTTTTTTTAAATTTCAGCATATTATGGGGGTACAGATGTTTAGGTTATGTATGTTACCCTTGCCTCCCCACTCCCCCCCAAGTCCGAGTTTCAAGTGTGCCCATCCCTTGGATGGTGTGCATTGCACTCTTTACACAGAAATTTTTGATATTGGCAAGTTTGGTGGTACTGATGCAAGCACTGAATCGACAAAGTACTTAACACATTTAGGTTCATGTGTGATGAAAAATATAGTTTATAGAACACTCAAGCCCAAATCAAGTATACACAGCATGACGCCTAGAACTAACTCACTGCTTTAGATATTATTTACTAGATATCTTTCAGTGGGCACTAATAGGACCACAAAGATCAGGGTTAAAGTGGTGCTAAGGGGAAAACATCAGAAGAGTGTGAAACATACATGATACCTGAAAATAACTCTAAGTCATTATCGAATGGAAATAACATTGAAATGGAAACAACAACAACAAAAAAAATCAAAGGGAAGGTAAAGATATGTGCTGCTTTAAAAAAATCCTTCTTCTCAAAACTTGAATTCATAAAGCTCATGTTTTAAAAGATGAAATTATTCTGTGCTTAACAAAGAGTTCTGCTATAAAGTAACTTCAAATAGCATTTCCCAGTAGGAAATGACAGTAGATTTGGAATCAAAGCTTGAGTACAAATCCCTAGTCAAGCCTTCGAGAGAGACATTTAACTGCGTGAGCCACAAACTACCTAAGACGCAATTCTATTACCTACATATGGAGATAATTAACATCTACTCCACCCCAAAGCTGGTGGGCCACAGCAGGTGTGAAAGTGCTTAAACTATGAAATGCTAAATAATTAGAAGTCATTTGATTATCCAAGAGAGGAACAGAATCCAATTTTTTAGAAACGCATCTGTCACAAGATGGAGTTGTGATTACCATACAGGATATTTAGACTCCAAAAGAGGTTTATAGGAAATTTTAGAGGAAATTGCATAGTTGAGGCTGGGCGCGGTGGCTCACGCCTGTAATCCTAGCACTCTGGGAGGCCGAGGTGCGCGGATTGTTTGAGCTCAGGAGTTCGACTCTACTAAAAATAGAAAGAAATTAATTGGACAACTAAAAATATATAGAAAAAATTAGCCGGGCATGGTGGCGCATGCCTGTAGTCCCAGCTACTCGGGAGGCTGAGGCAGAAGGATTGCTTGAGCCCAGGAGTGTGAGGTTGCTGTGAGCTAGGCTGATGCCACGGCACTCACTCTAGTCCGGGCAAAAGAGTGATACTCTGTCTCAAAAAAAAAAAAAAAAAGAAATTGCATAGTTGAAATTATGGTGCCCTAAGCATGTGGTGAAGGTAACAAAAAGGGATGACAGCTGTAAGTTATAGAAATGGAGTGTTTGGGTATGCTCAGAGCCCTCTTTTATAATCCCAACTTTCTGAGCTGGTAATTCTCACATGGCTTCTGACCTACAGGTAAAAGACTAACCACCTATCTAATACTCCTGCTTTAACACAACAACAAAAAAAAGGCCCAAACCCTAACCAAATTAACATCTATGCTGTTTTTTCATGTGCCCAATAAAGCGATCCTTATAAAGCAAACCTCGGACTTCTCAAGGCCAAAGATAAATTTGTCCTCGAAGCCAAGGGAGCATGCAAGGACCAAGACTTAAGACTGAACTGTTACCTATGTGCTGTGCTTTCACAGTGAATATTTTTCCATACTTTAATGCAGACACATAGCTCCATATCCAGATTAAATATGTTACAAATAATACATACATACCTATACAACAACTACTGCTTACCATGAAAGACAAGCTGGACACCTGTATATTTCCAGCTTTCTCTCATTAGTAAAAAAAATAGGTAAATAAATTAATAAGGAATTTTTTGCTTCCTGACCAATTCATACTGCAACCTACTTCTATACTAGATGAAGACTAAAAATAATCTTGTGCAGCCTTTCTTCCATTCCATCATCTAGTTTTTATTAAACAACATATGTAAAGTGTTCACACCAGATTTTTTTTTTTTAAAGCAGACACTGTGTTAAACTGCATATCCCTCTCACTTGTCAAATTTTTTACTTTTCAGAATTCTTGAACTGGAAAATGGGGGAATTAAGCCAAAAATATCCATGAGACAACAGCAGCTTTCCTGAACTTCCAGATGGAATTGGGGGTGGGCTGTCCTAGTGCCCCACTTCCCTCACTGCACGTGCTTCCTGCCCAACGCTGACGTCCAGCTAATGACTGATAACCAGTGGAATTTGGCTGGGCTCCCCAAGCTGTACCCTGACATGCTAAGCTTAGTATTTACTAATTCGATTAACAAATTTTTAGGGAGGACTCATTATAAGCAAGATATTGGGATAATTAAAAAAAGAACATGACACAGTTGGTGCTCTCTAGAAACTCATAATCTGGTTTGAACAGTAAGACATGTTCATAAGAAATCCAATTAAAGCCCTTCCAAAACAGCCACTGGGAATCTTACCATTGTCGTGGGACATGAGGAATTATGTGCTGGGCATTGCTGTCCATTCCATGGACTTGGCCTTAGCATCACATGCCACTATCTCCTCCCAACCAAGGACCAGTGTCAAATGAGGGCTTATTCAGGCAAAGACATCTAGACACCTTCCTAGTTCATTAAGATGAAGAAAAAGGTGAAAAAGTTGTAAGTTTAATAGCAATTTGCAGAGTGGCTGCACTGCCTAACTGTGGGAGTGCTACTTAGATAGAACCAGGATTGGCAGTTTGAGCCTGACAAAATGTTTAGGCAAGATAGAGATTGCTTCCTCTGGAGAGGAATGATATGTGAGGCCAATAAGACTGTCATAAACTTGGGTATGTTTTAGTTTGTGGCTTTTATCATAGGTACCTGGGGCATACTACACATCTTATTTGATAAGCAATCAACCAGAACTTTCCTAACCCTGTGATTAAAGAGCTGAATGACTTCTTGCTAGCCTTCATTTCCCCACATTTGATAAATGAGCTATTGAACAACATAGATCTCCAACTCTAAAATACGATGCCTCAGGGTTTTTTTTAATGTTTACTTATTTATTTATAAGAACTGGCAACAACATATGGAACCAATGATTTGAGTTTAGCCAATATTGTTATATGTTCAGTAGTGCTCTCAATATTTACCAAACAAGAGCTATTTTATCTTTTTCCCTTGAAATATATGACTATATTTTTGGTATTTCTCAAGTACAGTCTTAGTAGCATAGTTTTAGGGGTAGAACATAAGCCAACTTAAATTTTTCCGCACTGGATTAAATTTTTACACACCGATGAAATCAATTTTCTCCCAATTGTTTCCCCCTAATTTTCAGTATCAAGCCGATTCCTTAGCAGCAAAGGGAAACAAAAATTGAGAAAGTTATCATTCTATAGAAACAAAAGATTAAGGAATCTTAGCACTCTGGGAGGCTGAGGCAGGAGGATCGCTTGAAATCAGCCTGAGCAAGAGCAAGACCCTGTCTCTACCAAAAATAGAAAAATTAGCCAGGTGTGGAGGAACGTGCCTATAGTCCCAGCTACTTGAGAGGCTGAGGCAGGAGAATTGCTTGAGTCCAGGAGTTTGAGGTTGCTGTGAGCTACACTGATGCTATGGCACTCTAGTCTAGGTGACAGAGTGAGACTCAGTCTCAAAAAAAGAAAAAAAAATGATAGGGGAATTATCCACTTTGAAAAAATTAAAATTTAATTTTCCAATTCTGACAAGATTAAGTATGTAATTTGGAATGTGTTTGCTAAACCCTTTTTCTCTTTGGATAGTTAAGTTTTTGAGAACAGGAGACTGAGCAGAGTTTTGGAAGCCACTATTCTAAAACAGCATCCTAACTCTTCCTAGGATCTGGCCGGCAAAGCAAATAGTTAACAGGTGTGCTGACCTCGTCGCCACCAAATAGTTACTGGTGTGAAATAATACCATCTTTATGATGGAAACGGAAGGGACTGAGACTTAGAAGGCAGCATGATAGATGTAAGATGAAGAATAAAGGAAAACAAGAGAAAACTATATAGAAGGGTGATGAGAAAAATTCTATAGCAGAGGGAAAAACAAAAAACTTCCCTGAATGGATGGCCACCCTGTTAGTTGATACAGAAGTAACCATGGGCTTTCGTGTGAATCAGCATGCTTCCGCTAAGACTTTAATTTTGCATAGATCATGCCTAGGTAATTCCATGCCCCCTCCCTCCTGTCTCTCTTTATCTTATTGGTGCCTCAGGAACTCTCTGTATTATTTGAGTTTTTTTCCCCTTTACCTTCTTTTTTGACTGCTATGTTCCCTTAATGTTCAATGTTCAGACTCCCATCATTATTAGCTACCCTCTTAAGAAATATCCTTCATAAATTTCAGTGTCTAAGGCCTTTCAAAAACATCTTATGCTCCTGTTCCAATTTTCTAATGCAAGTTTCTACAGATTCAAATACAGAATGAAAAGTGTAATACTTACCACATTAATAGGTGGTCTTTTGAAGTAAAATGGTAGCTTCTCTGTTACAGTTATACAGACTAAATCCACATCTAAATGTGTACAAGCAACCTGTCAAAAAGAAACGATAGGTAAGGCCAAAAGGAAAACTCGCACAAATAAGAACAGGAGATAAGGTCAAACTTGATATAAAGAAACTTAAATAGGTATGGTTCACTCCACAGGTGTTTTGATGGTTTTGTGTTGAAATACATTTGACCTCTTACAAAGTCAACTATTTAGCCATTTCCTTCAGGTTTAGCTATAATCAAACTGAAGCAGAGTGAGATGTAGATAGATCTTCACAAAACACTGGGCCTGGAGACCCTCTAACTCATATGGTCTTCTACATAAGGAAGGGCTGCTGAATGAGGCTCAGTTTCTGGAATGTTACTTCAGACTGTTCCAGAAAGAAGAAACTGCTCTAAAATCCAAGGAAAAAAATAAGCCAAAAGGAATGTATGCATGGTCTATTTATTTCACAAACTATTTACTGAGCACCTTTGTGCCATGCCTTGTCCCGGGGCTGTGGCTCCTATCAGTCTACTCAGTGGATAAAGAAACATTAACAGCACCACTGATGGCATTTTGTTCAAATACTGATAGTCTACCTAAATGGTTAAAGCAGAGCTGGTACAAATCAAACAATAATGAATGCTTTTTTTCAACTTTTAATTTCCTTTTGTCCTAATTTTTGCTATTATTTGTTGATCGATACTCTGCATTTACTTCTAAAAAAAGATGTGAAACTGCTTACAAACTATATACAAGACAAAATAAACAGAGAAGAAAATCAGGATAAAGGGAAAATCAGGCAAGAAAAACAAACCTGGGGAAAGGTTACTGGGGTAGAGTGCAAGTTAGAAGACACACAACTAGAAGATGTGTACCCAGCTCTGATTTTGCCATTATTTGATTTATTGTGATGGAAGAATTGGCTGTTATGTATTCCATTAAAAATAAGTCTTACTGACAATGCTAGCTTGTACAGGCTTGATGAAAAATTCAAACTGCCAGGATGGCTATGCTGGTGAACCAATACAAGTGGCATGTAACAGGGGAAAGAGCAGAGCAAAGAAGAGAGGTGAAGAGGGGGTAACAATGCCCGACCTTGGGCAATAACAAGAATATCACTTCTTGCCCTTTTTCTTCAGAATCCCCACTTCAGTCACTCCTACCACCACCCCAGGGTTCTAGGAAGCAAGTAGAGATCAGAGGCTGCCTGGCTTTACGACCGTCATAGTAACTTAGTAAGCCTGGGAAGCAATGTTGTTTTGGCAGAAATACTTGGCTTATAAAAGAACTTGCCCCATCCGAACTGCTACAGCTGTCCAACTCACAAAAGAGTCATTGAAAATTTGATAAGAATGGATGAAAAAAAGCTCTGAATAATAGCTAAAACAAGTTCAGCTTTCTGTTCACCATTTTTTAACTAGCAGACTGGCAAAGATCAAAGAGTTCAGTAAGATACTGCGGACATGAGAATGAATAAACAGGCACTCACAGGGTCTTTAAATCAGTACAGGACCTTGAAAAGCACTTTAGCAATGGCTGTCAAAATTTTAAATGCACACACCAGCAATTTCACTTATAAGAATGGATTCTACAGAGACTCTAGAAATATATATAGCTATATATATATATATACAGCTATATACCCTCAAAGGCTCAAGGGCATTAATGCAAGGACAGTCATTGCAACACCAATCACAAAAGACTAGGCACAATTAAACAGTCCTCGATTTTACTTAAATAAATTATGATCCCTTTATGTGATGAAATATGCTGATATTCTTAAAGGGAATGAATTGATATTATCTCTAATTGATATTATGGAACAATCTCCAAGATATACTATCAGGTGAAAAAAGAGCATGGTACTAGGTAGGAAGGAAAGAGGGAGGGGGAGGGGGAGAATGAAGGAAAGAAAGATGAGGTAAATATTTCTGAAAAGATACACAAGAACTCTTAGTAGTCGCTGCCTCTGAAGAAAAGGGAGAGGGAGTTTTAGGTGAGAGGAAGGCATACTTTTCAATGCATACCCCTTCGTACTGTTTGAACTTACTATCATGAGCATAAATTATTTTTTCAATAAAAAAGTTAATTTTTTAAAAGTCTGTTAAATATTCTCCCCAGAATAAAGCTAAATTAGATTACTTTTTACTTATCTATTGTTCCTTTCTTCCCCTCTCCTACATAAAAGTAGCCAATTAAACAATGGATCTGTGTTGGTTTAAGTATATGCATTATAATAAATTTCTAGATATAAAGGACAGCCCCACTTGGCCCTCTGACACCTCAAACTTAAAGTGTCCTAAACTGAATTCTTTTGTTATTCAGCTTTCTATTAACCTAAATGTTGAACTGATACATTCAGATACCCATAAAATAAGAGTTAATGTTCACTGTATAATGACCGTCTATATCATTAAAAAAGATTATGACCAATATAGTTTTGAGGTTAAGAATCTTATAATGGTTTTCCCTGACAACTGGTAGGTCGCCTATGAATTCACATTAGGTGTCTTTTACTGTTCTTTTGGAGGGTGTCGGAGACCCCTGTGACAACTTAAGGAAAGCGTATTCCTACAAAAATGTGCACATATATACACATCTTTGCCTTTGTGGCACAAAGGGACCAGGAGTGTAGAGTTAACATTCCCCCTGAACTCCTTTCAAGGCTGTCAGATTAATACATCTTGGTATTTTATGATAAATTATGTAAGAGAGACTCAGGGTTACCAAGGAAAAAGAGAGCAGCCCATTAATGGTGGCTCTCAATCTTAGTGTGTACAAAACTCCCCTGAAGAATTTACCAAAAATGGAGATAACCAGGCCCCACCTCCAGCAAATCATTCAGTAAGCAGGGCCTAACAATCTGCATTTTAACAAATATCCCAGGTAATTCTGAAGCTTGTGGAGCCAGACTATACTCTGAGAAACACTGGGATATTCCCTCTCTCAAGGTAATCCATAACAGTACTCTGCAAAGGGAAGCACAAATTTTGGGAGCAGAAAGAAAATAAAACTTCTATTTCTATTTATTTTTAATTTCACTCTTAAAATTTGTTTTGTTTTGTGTGTATATTATTTCATAAAGCACACTGGTATAATGGGACATGCAATAATTTATAAGAAACATACATATATTGGGAAGCAGGCTCAACATTTTTTTAAACTGTTGCATACAATCAAAGCAGGTTGGAGACCACTGTACTAAACAATGCAATTTCTCCTCACCCTGCTTGGCTACTTTAAATCCTAAATGGGAATAGCTGACTCAGAAGCTGCTGAAGCTTCTATGCAACTCTCACCTTTCATATTCCTATTCAACAGCTGTCCCCCACCTCCCAATCCCAAGGAGCCCTGGCCAGTGGATTCCCCCTCACAATCTTTGATCTTTGCCTTATCCCCTGTGGTAGCTATGGGGAGGGAGGGTTTCTTATCTATGATACATCTCCCAGATACTCTTGAGTGGCAAATAGTCTGTTATTTCCCATGGAAATGATGCTATTTAAGATGGTTACATTTTGTGCTACTGTTGATGTATATGAATGTGTGTCTGTGTACACTTTTATGACTTATCTTAGAGACTTTAGTTTTAGAATATCATACCTACAGAGATACATATTAGAATTCTACATAATCAACTTAAAAACAGATAAAATCACTTATAGAATGTAACCTATTAAGCCACAACTGCTTGCATATGATCTGATTCCAAATAATGATATACTTACAAAAGCTTTATGATTAAAAGAAAGATGTTTTTTAATTGACTTTCTATAGAAAACAAGGAGTACTCTAACTTCAACTAAATCTTAAAGAATGAGTAATATTTGGACCCAGAAGAGGAAGATGTTCCAATTTTAAAAACTTTGTTTCCATGTTAACTTTTTTAGTACATCTGTATAGTCAATTCTAAACAAATACTTTGTGATTTATAATTTTCATCTGTCTTCCAAAATATTTCTGACTGTTCCACCCACTATCATCAAGAATGTGTTCAGCAAATTCGGATTCGAATAGTCTAAGAAAAACAGTAAGATAAATAAAATTACTATATGAAATTATATTCTAAAACCCCAAAGTCCTACCTTTACAACACATTTTCTAGGAGATTTAGAGCAAACCCTTCAGCCCTAGTCTCAGTTTTCTCCTCTATAACACATGGATAGTATTAAATAGTAAGTATCTGTCCCGATCATCTATAGGATTGGTGTGAAAGTTAAAGGAAGTAAACATGTAAAAGCCAAAATGTTACTTAAGTGTTTTATTTCTCTAATCGCCAGTAAAGGACTATGGAGGCCAGGCGAGGTGGCTCACACCTGTAATCCCAGCACTCTGGGAGGCCAAGGCAGGAGCATCACTTGGGCTCAGGAGTTGGAGACCAACCTGAGCAAGAGTAAGAACCTGTTTCTACAAAAAATAAATTAGACTGGTATGGTGGTACATGACTGTAATCCCAGCTTCTCAGGAGGCTGAAGCAGGAGGATCGCTTGAGCTCAGAAGTTTGAGGTTGCAGTGAGCTATGATGACGCCACTGCACTCTATCCGGGTTGACAGAGCGAGACTCTATCTCAAAAAAAAAAAAAAAAAAAAAGGGCTATGGAAATGTAAGTTGTATGATCTTCAAAATTAATCTATAAATCATATGTACAACAAAAAACTTGGTACATCGCCAACTTTTAGTCTACATCATGACTGAGTTACTATTTATTTAATAACAAAACTTAAGTTGCTATTTGTTGTTTAACAAATTTGGAAATGCCCATGGCCTTCCTTATACCACACACCAATGGTTTCAGCACTGAATCAGACTTTCTTGTGGAACTTGAACAAACATAGAATCAACCCTAACCCTATTGGATTAGAATTTCTAGTGGTGAGAGCTGAATGTGCCCAGTTTTAAAAAGTTCCACAGGAGTCTTTGATGATTAAGAACCACTTGCTTCTACTCACTCCTTTAACTAAGTTAAAACAAAATTCTTGAGAATTACTATAATTGAGCATTTTTTAAAGGAGGTAAACAAAAAAGGGGTAGGCACCTATAGATAATTTGTGCTGTTTCCCTCTATTATTATAAATAATCAAGAATTGATAGTACGCCTTGAAAACTAAATTTACCACACATCAGCTTCCTTAGTCAACAGCTCCATCTAATGGATAAACTTAGGAAAAATCTGTCTACAATTCTGAACAGATTTTGCTTATAAAAGACCTGAATGTAAAATTAAAACATCAAAGACCAGTATTTCTTTTTCTGCAACATCCTTCGGCAGATTTACTTTTGGCAGATGGAGGCTTTTTTTGAACCTAGATAAAGACTACTTTCAGAACTTTCTAAAAGTAGCTACACAGTAAAATGCAATAGTTCATTCTTTTTTCTTTACTGCAATCATTTAAAATGCTCAGGGTGTTCAGTCTCAACTTGACAAAATAAGCACACATGTTAAGCTCCTTTCCCTCCTGCAAAGGCATTGAAATGGCAATTTTCAGAAGTACAAAAAGAATTCAATTCATAAAGGCCCTAAGAACAGGAAGAGAGATCATATCAGCAGGGGGTTGATTTTGAAGAATTTCTGGAAGGCTGAGATGATCATGCTGGCATATGGGTTACACCTCTGAACATACAAAGGAGGAAGTAGAAACAGGGGAGGAAACTTTTATGATACAGTAGAATCTTACCCTTTTCTTCCCTCATAGGCAGCAGTGAATAGTAAGAAGGGCAGAAACTGAAGTGATTTTAGAGCTATTAATAGAAAGAGATGGAACATCATTTACCTAAGGGAAGTTCTGAATGAATAAAGCAGAGATAAAGAAACAAGAAAACTGGGCTGGGCACAGTGGCTCATGCCTGTAATCCTAGCACTTTGGGAGGCCAAGGCAGGAGGATTGCTTGAGGCCAGGAGTTTGAGACCAGCCTGAGCAAGAGTGAGACCTTTTCTCTACAAAAAATAGAAAAATTAGCTGGGCATGGCTGCATGCATCTATAGTCCCATCTACTCAGGAAGCTGAGGCAGGAGGATTGCTTGAGCCCAGGAATTTGAGGTCGCAGTGAGCTATGATGATGCCACTGTGCTCTAGCCCCAGCAAAAGAGCAAGACCCTGTCTTTAAAAAAAAGTAAAGAAAAAAGAAAACTCAATGGGCTCTTTCAAATTTAGCCCATCAAGTGTCTAGCAAGATGAATAAAACAAAACAAAAACAAGCCAATTAAATATACCCCTGTGAAATCCTAGACCTCTAAGTGTAAATGAAAAATCCTTAAAGTTTCCAGTTGAGGCTAAATAGGTCACTTACAAAAGTGTAACATCAGACTTCTTTTGTAAAATCATAAACACTATTTTACTTATCTGTTACTCACATGAAAAAGTTTTTCTGTCTTTGGAAAAACTGCAACAATATCATAGAGCCGGACCCTTGAAGAAGTTGCTCTCTAGGAATGTAAAAAGAATGTTATCATTCAGTAACAAAAAATATAAACATGAAATTTTGTTTAGTGATCTAACTACACTTATATTTCAATCATGTAACATTTCTAATATACTACTGACATTTCTGCTTTGCTTTGTATGTTGGCAGAAAAGACCTTCTAAGCACATGAGAATTTAGATATTATATAAACAACCATCACACCAATCATCCTCCTCCAGTCCTTCCTACATTTGTTTGTTTTAACCACGTACCACACATTGTGTTTGAGATATAAAAATCAAATTAGATAGCCCTTGATCTTACAAACTAGTGAAGGAGTGTGCCAGACATTTACTCAGCACTTTTTGTGTGCTGGGCACTGGGGGTACAAAATCGTTAAGGCATATGTCTGCCCTCAATGGAATTTACCATTATTTTTTCAGACAAAAAATATACATGACAAAGTGTAATGTGCATAGAGCAAATATACATGATTAAGTGTTTGACGTGATTAAGTTCACAATAAGAATACTGTTAAATACAAATTAAAATGCTAGATATGCAAGAAAATACCTGAGAGTCCTAGGATAGGAGAGAAATATCTTGGTTAACGATAAATAGACAGTTGTTTATAAAAGAAAATCTCAAACCTATATTGTACGAGTTTGTATGTGAAAAGACTAAAAAATCGTATATTCAAATGTACAATCTCTGAATGATGGGGTGTGTGATATTTCTTCTTTGCTAGTTGGCACCTTATAAATTTTTACAATCTGGTTATTTTGTAAAAAGAAAAGATATAATAAAAGTTAGAGGAGGGTGTAAGAAAAGCAGCAGGTGCCGTGTTTAATTAAGCAAGTAAGAGGGCCTACGAAGCAGACCTGTGCTGAGACAGGGCAGGTTCCCCGTTTTAGGAAAAGCTACGATCCAGGATTCTTTCTCCTCCACTTGCCTGCTCCCATTTGGGAAGGAGATAAAAAGGGACTACCAGTATGTTCATGATAACAAGAGTAAATTAAAGTCTTTACAACTTATCACAAGACAGCTCTCTTCATGTTTACCCAGGCCTAGAGAATCAGAATGCTGCCTTGCAGTTGTATAAAAATACCAAGTTTGCCTTTCACAATTTCTATAGCAATGCTAACTATTATAAAGAGGTGCAGCCTCTCCTTGATTACTCCTGTTCTATGATAGAAATGTCCACCTTAGCTAAAGATAAAACCATTCACCTTCTCAGGGAATCTCACTTTCTCTCTCCCCAAGTGTATCTTTTCTGTTGGCAAGCATACTCACATCTCTCTCCTTTACCAAACAATCTCCTCATACAGCAGATTCTCATCCACCAACTACCCTATGCTTTCCATTTGCCTATGGAGTCAAATTTCTCAAGCAAAGTCAGCAGCACAAACTATCTGCATTTTCTCACAACCCTATCATATCCATGGAAATGGATTTTGCTAAGGCAGACAATGACTTCCCTGTCAATAAATCCAAAAGACATTTTTTTAGCCCCTGTCCTGCCTGACTATTCAGGCATATTGATGCTGCTGACCTTCCCTTCCTCCTCTTCTGTTTTCACTTTCCTCATCGTCCTCCTACTTCTAGGGTAGTCCTTCCTCAGTCTCCAATCCTAGCTCATCCTCTCTTTCACCATTAAACAGTGAAATTCCTCAGGACTCTGTTCTAGACCTCCTCTTTACACATCACACTTTGACTAGGGAGTCTCATTCATTCCCATGATCTCAATTACTCTCTACAGGTGACCACTTCCAAAGTAGCATCTTTAATTCGGATCACTCTTCTGAGGGCCACACCTTTTTTCCAACTGCCCATTTGATAGGCTCCACTGGAACTCTCACAATAACTCATCATGTCCTGAACATGATGCCCCCCCAACTGCTTCTCTTTGTTATGCTCCACCTCAGGAAATGGTACTATCTACCTACCTGGCTGCTCAGGCCATCATCCTATATCCAATCAATGAAAAAATCCCATCAATACTCCCTCCTGAATGTCTCTCAAATCCCCTCATTAACTCCAAGCTCATAATTTTACTCCCTTAATAAAAATCTCAAAGGGTTTTCCCTTGCTCTTGGAATCCTCATCCAGGCTTACCTCCCTAACTTCATCCCAGGTAGCCAGCTCACTAGGCTTAGCTCTACCAGTCTTGTTTCACTTCCCAGAACATACTATGTTTTCCTTGGCTTCAGGACCTTTGCATAATTCATCCTATCTGTGGGAACAGTCTCCTTCTTGTCACCTATATAACGTTTACTGATTCTTATGTCCCCTAGCTTGAACATTAACTTACTCAGGTTACACACTCCCAGAGCATCCTTTATTTACCATCTCTTCCCTTTTAAACACCCCTCACATTTGTAATTATTATTTGTTCAGTGCTTGTCTTGCCAATTAAACTATTAATATAAGCTTTGTAAGTTTAAGGATCTTGTCTATATTATTCACAGCAATATCCCCAGCACCCATCTTTGTCTAGTTCATGAATCCAATGAATAACTGTTGTCAAGGGATTCTTTAACTGTGGTATCACTATACATGTGCTATGAGTAGGCAGACTAGACATGTTACACTGTGAATTCTGAGGACAGTGACACAGGCAGGGGCCATGGTTTGGGGGGATGAAGGGAGATGTAAGAATGGGGCAGGATGAAGTGCAACACTGTTCAACATTAATCGGTACAACTTACAAGGCCAAAAGGAAAGGGGAGAAGTAATTAACTTACCAAAACATTGCAGTGTGATGGATCAGAAACAATAATCGTCAATCTAGTTAAAATTTTAATTGGTCTTGATTTTCCCTGTATACAAAAACATGCTATCAGAAAAGCACAGAATACAACTGATTGATTTTCCTCTTTACCAGTGGAAAGTATTCATTAAAAGGTACAAGCTGTAAGGGATAGTGAAGATCAATAAAACCCAGTCCTTGTTCTCTAGGAATTTATAATACAGCCAGAAAAAAAGATGTATGTATATTAAACTATATAATGAGATAATTTCAAAGCTGTAGGACTTCAGGAAAGAAGATCATCAAAGAAATACTGGACTGATAGTAACAGAATGTTTTATGAAAGAGCTGAGCCTTGACAAAAAGGTAAGACTGGTAGGCAGAGGAAGGTATAGCTCAGGTTAGAGAATAGCACACATAATTTGGTATGTTTTCATTGAGTAAATAAGTATTATGCTTCTTAAACAACAAACACCTACCTGTACAACTGGCAAAGTTGTGAAAAGTTCAGAAACAGATACTGGTTTTTCAATTTCCTACAATAAACAATAAATGGTCACCATAGATTATACATGTTAATGGTATAAAGCATAATGGAAAACTTACAATGGGTTCTCAGGAAAAAAAACCCCATATATATATATATATATATATATATATTATATATATATATATATGTTGAAATATATATATATATGTTCTTCTAAAAAAAAAGAAAGCTGATTTCTGGTACTAAGAAAGACTAAATAAGCTTTTTGTAATTATTATTATTAAAGAAAGCTAACTAGCCAAGAACATCAGTAAACAGGAGGGATAAAAACCAATTTTTAGACTGAAATAATCTATAGGATACAATTGATCTAAAGAGAAATACACATATTAGTATATTTAAGAGCTAATGAGTCCATGTCAATAAAAAGGACTACATATTGTGATTAGTCAATAACAATGCACTTTTTAAACATTATTGAAACAATTAACATCAGTCAACAAGTCAACTTCAAGAATCCTTACACTGTGCCACAGTACTTCACAAAAATCTTCATTTGTATAAATATTCATCAGTTCAACTGTTAACATATAAGAAAATAATAGTGTACAAAGGACTGCATTTAAGGAATATGCTAATCTGTAGCTCCCACATTACTAATATAAACACAAATAATTATAAATACTTATTATTGCTTCACTTATTAGCTTCAGAAATCTTATTTTACCTGTTTCTTTTCCTTAAAGTCAACAACATGATTGATAGCAACAACTGAATAGCCAACTGAAAAGAAAAATTGAAAATTCTTGTTAAATATAACAACCTCTCCTTCTTGTACACACAGACCCATCCTGATTCTAGATGTCAAGACTAGGAGGCAGTTTGCGGAGTGGTTATGGGTGCAAGGTCTGGTGTCAGACCACCTGCTTTCAAATCTAAGCGCTACCACTTAAAGTTACGCAGTGTTAAATTTTGGGTTATCTGTAAGATGGTGATAATAACAGCACTTATTTCATATACCTGTCATGAGAATTAAATGAAATAACACATGTTAAAGTGTTTGAGAACAGTGCCTGGCACACAATCACGGCTTTGTTTAACCATTGTGACTTATTATTAGCATGACACTAAGGACTCTTGTATTGGTTTGTGTCTCTCCTTTCCAACCATAATTCTCTTTCATACCCCTTTGTTCATGTTCATCCCATCAAGTTTATACTTTTTCCACTGTCATCTTTATTCTGCTCTTTTGTCTTTGACCCTTCTACTTCCTTCAGAGACCCCTTTCTTAAGGAGAAATGGAGTAATGACTCCCTCACCCACTGCCTATTTCCCCTTTTGAGCTGCCCACCATCAATAAATTGGGAACTCTTTGAGGCCCACTGGCTGTCTTTATCATTCTCATCATAGCACTGTTCTCGACATTTGGGTTACCAAAAATACATCTAAATCATGACTGCTATCTTTAAGCTTTTAAAACATCAATGGAGATGACAAGACATTAATATTAAAAGATAATACATATGAATGCTAAAATAGTGGTCCCTTCTCTAATCAGTTTGTCCAACTCCCTTTTTTCCTTCCTTCAGCAAGTATTTATTGAACATCCATTATTTCAGAGGTCCTATACCAGGTGCTGAGCATACAGGGGAAATAATACAATCCTCATCCTCAAGTAGCTTACAGCCTATTGGAGAAATGAGGCAATTAAGTCATATATAAATAAAATTTTTTTGATATGTAAACACTCTATGGAAGCACACAGCAGAATGAAACCTGGTGTATGGGGTCAGAAAAGGCTCCCTGGAGACAGTGATCTTTGAAAACAAAAACTAGAAATGTGCCCATACTTTGGGCTTCACCTTTCACCCAGTCAAATCAGCCAGCCACAACTCCTCCCCATTCTTTTTTACCACACTTCCAAGTCTACTCTAAACTTTCTTGATATACCTATTTGGGATACCCTTTTGGCCATTAAGTGAAGTCCCTCCTGTCCTTCTGAAATGTCAGCTAGATTCTGTTTCCCCACGAAACTTTTTTCTAGGCTACTTCTGTTCTGGCATCTTAGAAGTACTTCCCCAATTAGTCTTTGGTGTATTTTTATCTATATAGCATATTCCTGAAGCTTATCATAGGTTTCTTACATCATGTCATAAACTAAGAACCAGGGCTCTGTCTTCTTTATTCTTTGAAAATTTTCATTCACTAAACAGCTGTCCTTTGCCTTTTGATTTGCAAGTTGAGGTGACTTTCTGTCATATGTTATGAATTTCATTTAATTTTTAAAGAAATAAATAAAGACTGGCTGACAATGTACATACATTACCACACCTCTTTCAAGCATATTTCAAATTGGGGCAATTCTCTAAAGATATCATTATAACTTTTATTTTCCTGTATTTATTTTTTAAAAGGTGTTCAGTTTATTTATTCCATAAGCATTAACTGAGTAACTACTGTGCACAAATGCCTGCGGAGTGACCATGTTAAGCACAGTAAATAAACAAAAGAATAAGACATGGCCTCTCTCTAAAGAAGCTTACGGTGTATTAAAAAGGTGATGGCATCAGGAAAAGCTTCATTAAGGAGGTAATGCTTGCGACGAGCTACACCTAGGAAAATCCATTTTACAGGAACTACTCAAAGAATATTAGCACTAAATGGCCCAGATCATGTCTACTTTCCTTCTTCTACGATGAGAAAAGTATGTCCTAGAGAGACAATGCGAATTAGTGACAGCAGTGGAAAGATAAAGTCATTTCCCTGAGGATACTTCATAAAGGGGACAAGAAGAAATGGTGTGATTCATTTTGCTAAAAAGTAGCTGTTTCTAGCACCACCTCTGAAAAGTATTGGTAATCAGCTCGTACAACGAGCTGAGAACTGTCTCAGACGAACAGATATTACTGCACGAACTTCTTTCATCTTTTTTTTTTTTTTTTTTGAGACAGAGTCTCACTGTGTTGCCCGGGCTAGAGTGCTGTGGCGTGGTCTTAGCTCACAGCAACCTCAAACTCCTGGGCTCAAGCAATCCTCCTGCCTCAGCCTCCCGAGTAGCTGGGACTACAGGCATGCGCCACCATGCCCGGCTAGTTTTTTCTATATGTTTTTAGTTGTCCAATTAATTTCTTTCTATTTTTAGTAGAGACGGGGCCTTGCTCTTGCTCAGGCTGGTCTCGAACTCCTGAGCTCAGAACGATCCGCCCGCCTCGGCCTCCCAGAGTGCTAGGATTACAGGCGTGAGCCACCGCGCCCGGCCTCATCTTTTAACCTATCTCCACTTTGCAGTCTAAGGAAGACAGAAACCATGACTGACTCCAGTGATTAAAACAAGATCTCATCTCTCAGGGCTTTTGTTCCCCTGCGATTCAAATATGAGTAGCATCCTAACATTTTGGCCATGCTGTCCCCTCCCCCTTCCCCACTGCCTAGTATGTCCTCCACCCCCACCTACCCTCTCTATAGATAATATTAATCCGACACTCACACCCCCACGTCCATCCCCTCCTCTAAGCCTCCACGGCACTCCCTCTCTGTGCTCCAGTTTCCTACATTCGTTCAGCCACTGTCGTGTGAGTTAGGAAGGGCTGATACGAAAAACGCTAGCTTAGAAAACTATACTTGGAGTCTAGCTCTGGCTTCTGTCATTCATCAGCTGTAGAGCCCCACGCAAATCTCTTGCCCTTGTTCGGCCTTAGTTCTCTCAATTTCCAGGAAAAAAGGAGCTAGACGGGACAACAACCCCCATAGAATGTTTGAGTTTCCCGCGCCTAGGATGAGCGCAACACCGCGGCTGGCATCAGTCTCCAGGGATATCGCAGAGATCTCAGGAGACCTGAACGAGGCCTGACAGGAAACAGTTCCTCCCGAGCGTGGCTCGACGGCCTGGGAGACAGCAAGCCTGGGCAGACGCCGCAGCCCACGAAACTGGGGCGACTCACGGTGAGCAGCGGTCTCCACGAGTCCGCGCAGAGCCTTGAGGTCCGAACCCGCTCGCAGGTCCAAGTCTGCAAACACCGCCATGCTGCAGTCCCATGACAGCCCGCGCACGCTTGTCTGCGCAGACGCCGAGCCCGCCCCTCCAAGGCATGCTGGGAGTCGTAGTTTACCGACTAAGCCTGTCTCCCTCCAGCAGACTATTTTACTTTAGGGATTCGCAGGTGCTTACTTGCCTTGCCTTCAAGTACCAGCAAAACTTAGTGTGTTGAACAATCGGCTTCAATCCTTGTTCGTCTTCTGCTGAATGACAATGTCTGGTTCCTCCTGGAGGGGTTCCAATCCCCCACTGTTCCTCCTACACAATAATGTAAAAAGAGATTCATTCGAAATCCGCGCACAGTAATCTATCGATCAGAGACTTCTGCTAATACCGGAAACGCCATTTAAAGAGTCGTAAAGAATCCATTTTTCTTTCCTTTCCCTAAAGTCCATTCCGTTGTTTAAAATTAACTAAACGGGAAGGGTGTGTGTGTGTGTGTGTGTGTGTGTGTGTGTGTGAGAGAGAGAGAGAGAGACTGACTGACCCTAAGAGAGCTGCCCGAAACAAGGGTCTTTTTGCCCAGTCAGAACCGGCTGTGTGAAAGCCTGCTGCTTTGTGTTACAGTCAACACTGTAACCGCAAGATGGCAGTGCTCTCTCTAGCATGAGCAGCTGTTCGAGCCAACAGTTTAGCAAAGGCAGGTTTGAGAGTGGAGGTGAAAATAGAAATGTTTTACAATTTTCTATGTGAAAAATGCACAAGGTGGTGTATATCCCACATACTTGCTGTTTCCACTTTTTTGACTTCGTTTAAATGAACGATTGAAGATTGCTAATCGATTATCCTACAATATAAAATTGTGGAACTATAGTTTACATCAGTGCTCTCGAACTATCTGATTTTCCCCTTTCCTTCTCCCCCTCACCCCTAGTTCTTCACAGACCAGCATGTGGTCTCTTATGCATTACTAGTAAGCAGCCTGGCCTCATGTACTCATAAATTTGACAAAACGTGAACTGCCCTATACCTGGCTGAGTAAGAAGAGTCCGGTGATCAGGACCTGGATATCAGGACAATGCCAAAGTGCTGTAAACATTTCTATATTTACTGATCGTAAACAGTTCACAGATAGTCTCCAGACTCTCTATGGACCACAATTACGCCTTTACACATTTTCTTGTTGGTCTCAGAAGGCTTGGGTACTAGTGGGGGAACTACATGTGGATCAAGGTGGTTTGTTCAATTCTTGCCCGGAGTACTGCCTCCTAAGCAAAGCCGGCAGAGAAGAGAGTTGTGGGGAAGGGAGGAGGGAGAGAAAAGGAGAGAGAACTAAGGAAAGAGAAAGCAGGAGAGGAGAAGAAAGGAAAAAGAGAAGTGGAAGAGGGGACCAAAAAATGGGAAGAAGAAAAAGACAAGATGAGATAGGGGAGATGAACAGGAAAGAGGGGTCAGAAGTTGGCCTGGAGGGGTGGCTGAAGCAGCAAGGATCTTAAATTTGAAAAGGACCCTGGAAATTTCTCACTGGAAGATAAGAGTACTGTACAATTATTAATATTATTTTACATCTATTATGTTATTTAATCCTTACAAAAGCCAATGAGAGAGACATTGCTGTTCTTGGTATATCAAGGAAGAGTCCTGGGCTCAGAAAGGATGGCTCTTGAGTCATTTTTTATTCTGTGGGGAGATTAGAAAGAGAGAGTGGGCTGGGTGTGGTGGCTGTAATCCTAGCATTTTGGGAAGCCGAGGCAGGAAGATCACTCGAGGTCAGGAGTTCAAGACCAGCCTGAGCAAGAGTGAGACCTTGTCTCTACTAAAAACAGAAGGAAATTAGCTGGACAACTAAAAATATATAGAAAAAATTAGCCAGGCATGGTGGCACATGCCTGTAGTCCCAGCTACTCGGGAGACTGAGGCAGAAGGATTACTTAAGGCCAGGAGTTTGAGGTTGCTGTGAGCTAGGCTAGGCTGACGCCATGGCACTCTAGCCCAGGCAACAGAGCAAGACTCTGTCTCAAAAAAAAAAAGAAAAGAAAAAGAAAAAAGAAAGAGAGGGTGGTTTTTCACATCCAAAGCAACCTTTGGGTCCTTCTCAGTCTCCCAGAAGACTTCTCTTTCTTGGGCTGTATGTGGACTTGGGTGTGTGCTTGATTAGTTTTTGGCCTTATCCTCCGTTCATTAGCATCGCCCTTCCTAAGTCAGCCGAGACACACTCCACCTAACCCGTCCTCCTGCTGTTTAAGGCTGAAGAAGGAGCCAAGCAAGAAACCCACACTGTAACATGACTTGCACGGATGTGTTGGGAGGACCTACCAGGGTCTTCTCTTTCAATTTGAGGGAGAAGTTTGGGAGATCTGAAGAGGAAAAGAGGCAGTTTCCCTGAGAGGGTAATGCTTGAATTAAATTTTGATTTATAAAGTTGAAGAGAAACATGATGCAGAGATCATGATGCAGGTATCTAGGGTGTATCTGGAGCTGCACAAAGTAGGTGGTACTCAGTCAAAAGTTGCTGATCGAATGAATGAACTCATGACCTCTTTTTCAACTTCATACCCATGTCAATGGGATTGTAGCCCTGTTGGATGTGTTAAATTATCTTATCACATGGCCACAAATTCTCTGAACTGTGCATGTAGTGCACTGGCATGATACACCAGTGGCACACACAGAACCCTCCTCTTGTGTCCTAAATGATGGACACTTACAGGAGCCCTTGGGGAGACTACAAAAGACACTCTACCTCCAGGCAGACATTACATTTGCCCTATTCACCACATAGCTGGGAAGTCTGTGCAGTGAATTATCTGCCCAACCTTTTCCAGAAGCCCTGATAAAGCTCATCGGAGGGGTTAACTGCTAAGCCTAGAACTGCAGTCAGACTCCATAGGCTATCTCCAGTCCAGGAAGCCCTCACAATAATTCTTCCCTCATTGGGAAAATTGGTATTGAAGACAGAAAAATCAAATAAAAAAGTAGAAAAAAAAAATTCTTCCCTCATCTTCTTGCCTTCCCCCAGAAACTCTTGTAACTGACCTAATATCATTAGAATCTGTCCAATTTCTGTGCTGGTATAATCTGTCCTTGCTTGCAATATTAGGGTTTCTTTTTTATAACTGCAGTTATGATGAAGGTGAAATATTTCTTATACCCATATGTCTATAAAAGTTTAAAATGAAAGACAGATGTAGAATGTTGGTATGCTACAAAAAAATTAGCGTGAGAGCATGCTCGATTGTGAAAATAAAGAGTATTCCTACCTTTTTAAGATGCAAAGTATGCCTAATTTTTTAAAAATACAACTTAACACATTAACTGCCATGTATGTTGTATTTAACTTATGCTAGTTTTCAGCCAGGGGCCTCGTGAAGCAAAACCTGGGCAAAACCCTGCAGTTGGTTTGTGAAAATCTTATTTGTCAATGTTTGTATTGTTACAATTAATATTGGTAAATTAATTCTAAAAATGTGGATTAAATGAATAGAAGTCAATAAATTTCATTTGTCATTAAATTTTTCATCAAATAAGAAAGGATCATTTTGTTTTCAAAATTTGTATTCTAATTTTTTTAATAAATCACTATGGCCTCAAGGAAAAAAATTTTTTTTCTGGTGTGGTAGTCAATATGTTAAGAAGCCATTATGAAAGAAATCAAAGGAACAACTATGACTGGTATATGGAAAAATGCATGAGGATAAATTTAATGAATGAAAAGAAGAGAACGGAAATTGTTGCTGAAAGTTCAGTACTTGTCCCTGAGGCCAAATCAATGAGAATGAAGAACGAGGACAAGTGGTTTGAAGAAAAGGAAAGAGAAGTTTATTAATTTGCTGACAAATGAGGAGGACAGTAGGTCAGTGTTTCAAAGACTGCCGTCCTGCCTTTAAGCAGAGAAACAGGTCTTTTTATTTTTATTTATTTATTTATTTATTTATTTTTCTTGCAGATATCTTTATTTCATTCTCAAATTTGAGTGATTGCTTTGTAGGATTCTATGGTGACAGTTAATTTACTGCAGCTGTCTTTTTTTTTTTTTTTTTATTCCAGGCTATTGTGAGGGTACAAACATTATAGTTACACTTTATGTCTTTGCCTCACCCAAGTGTGGGTTAAAGGCATGCCCTTCCCTCCTTTTAGTGCTCCCCATGTCGTTTAGTTGTAGATTTGTCCCCCCAACCCCCTAATCCCTAGAGAGTATTTCTGTCATGTGATCACCCTAGTGTTGATCAATTAGTACCAATTTGATGGCGAGTACAAATGGATCCCATTCTTCTACTCTTGTGGTGCCTCACTTTGGATAATGGGCCTAAGTTTAATCCAGGAAAGTATAAGAGGTGCCAGATCACTGTCGTTTCTTATGATTGAGTAATATTCCATTGTAAACATATACCAAATTTTAATAATCCACTCATGGATTGACGGGCACTTGGGTTGTTTCCACATTCTTGCAATAGTGAATTGTGCTGCCATAAACATTCGAGTGCAGATGTCTTTATCGTAGAATGTCTTGTGCTCTTTTGGGTAGATGCCTAATAGTGCTATTGCTGGATCGAATGGTATTTCTATTTTTAGCTCTCTGAGGTATCTCCAAATTCTTTTCCACAGTGGTTGCACTAATTTGCAGTCCCACCAGCAGTGTAAGAGTGTTCCTGTCTCTCTACATCCTCGCCAGCATTTGTTGTTTTCTGATTTTGTGATAGAGGCCAATCTCACCGGGGTTAGGTGATACCTCATTGTGGTTTTGATTTGCAATTCTCTAATGATTAGAGATGTTGAGCATTATTCTGTCTTCTTTTGAAAAGTTTCTGTTCATTTCCTTTGCCCATTTGTTGATGGGGTTGTTTGATTTTTTCTTGTTGATTTTTTTGAGTTCTAGATAGATTCTTGTTATCAGCCCTTCATCAGATGTGTAGAGAGCAAATATTTTCTCCCATTCTGTGGGCTGTCTATTCGCTCTAATGATAGTTTCCTTGGCAGTGCAGAAGCTTTTAATTTGATTAGATCCCACTTATTTATTTTTGTTGCTGTGGCGATTGCTTTGGGGTTCTTCTTCAAGAATTCCTTGCCTAGGCCGAT